CAAAGACAGAAATCCACCAAGATTCACCAAAACCACCTCAGTGACAAGCCGCATTCAAAGAGTCAGAAGAAGCGCTTTCGGTGCGCTTACGCGTCTATGGAAAACCAGTGCCAGGCGGCAGCAGACATCACCATTCTTCTACCAAAAATGGCTCTTCAGGGCTCGCTCTGTGTCTGGCTGGGCTGAGTCCATGACAAGGATGATGCGTTCAGTTCTTACAACACCACTAGGAGCTGCCTACTAGTCATATCATCTCCTTTTTACACGTGGGAATAAATCCCCCTCCGAGTTGTAACTTGCTCCAGATGATATAACCTGAAGGGGAAAGTGGAACCCCAGGCTGGTGCCCCAAATCCTGTGTGCTTCCTCTCAAACTAGATACAAGCAAACAGAGCTCCAGGCTTGGCCCTGGGCCTGCTGTCTGCTGTCACACCAGCACAGACAAGGCCGAGAGAGACAGAAGACTACTGACAGATGGAAATTCAGATCTGTAGGTCGATATGGCCAGGGCTATGTATGCATATGGCCCGGGGTGTTGAAAGTCTGCGCTGGAATCCAACACTGTTGCAAAAGCCAATACAACCTAAAGGTTAGTTCATCCCCAGTGCATCTCTGAGGGCACAGACACGTGATCTGATCTCTTAGGTATCACAGAGGCTTAAGTTACTGCAAAGTCCAGGTCTCCAGCTCCCCAACCTCCATCACCTGTTTTCTTTGGCCCTTACTTTTCATGCTATAAACACACATGCATGCAAGCACATTTTATGGAATCACTCCAATTCTAGGCGTCTGTTTCTGTTTGGAATAGGGTAAAGCTAAGTGGGGACCGAGAGACCCAATAATTAATTCAGTGGCTGAAAGAAGATCGTTTATTTCTCACATTACAGACACAGGGGAGTATTGAAGGGCCCAGGACAGCTTCGTTTTCAGAGGCTATACCTCTTTCCATCCTTTCTTTCTGTCACCTCCCCTGTGGCGTCTGACCCTCCCCCCTTCCCACACACACCTGTTGCCGTGGGGA